CTTTACAATACCTTCCATCATCTAATTGCTATCAAAATGATGTTACTCATTGGAAGAAAAGATTATGAAATGTTTAACTGGTTATGTTAGAAAGTGTCCGAAGAAACTGCATCTGTCTTTATTATAATATGCTGTACAGCTTCTATCTTTACTACTAAGTAGAGAACATTCATTGTGACAACTGGCAAAACCAACTGTAATAAATAGTAGTATGATGACATGTGAGAATTGACAGTTACATATAAGTGAAGTGCAAAAGGTACTAAACAGATCAGGTAATTTCTGAAAGGAAGGAAACAATAGAAATGAGAAAACACTAAGGAGTAAACCCCATCTTAAATTCTGTTCAGTTGTAGATAGTTTGTTAGTAGTTGAAGTTATACTGAAACCTGTCAGAGAAACGATTACAAATATTACGTGTTCTGTAATACAATAGTATAGTATTATATTTTTATATATGATAGTATTTCATAACGTGTACTTTAATTAAAGATGAATATCTACACATTTTACAAAGTAGGACTTGGCTCTCGGTTTCAACAGCTGTTTGATTTTGAGCAAGGAACTGCAAATAGAGATTCTCTTTTCTACTTTAAATTGTTCTGTAATAACTTTTTTTGTGAAACCATATCAGGTATATAAAAGTAACTACTGGTCACTATACTCAGGCATATTGCTATATAGGTTACTCTTTTAGTTTTATACTTTGCATTTTGTTTAGATTGATAAAGCTTGATCACTGTACTTCTAATGGTAAACATGAAACTGATTTAAGAGTAGTGGGAGTCATAAATTCCCTGTTCATGCTTTTTTTTCTCTGTGGATTTACTATCTAGGATAACATTAAGTGGGGGGGAAGGGAACTTTATCATATTAGAAGTCATGCTTTTTATTTTCACTGCGTCATCTTTTACTGTGTTGGCTAAAACAAATGACTGTTTGATACAGTGAACAATGACTTCTTCAACTGGTAAGAAATATCTCAGCAGCTATGACAAAATCACTTTCTAGTACTATAGGAATTCATAATTTTTCAGTGTGGTTTCTAAGTTATTAAGCGAACTGTAAATATTTTTAAGCCAGTACCCATTTTTATTTCTAATGTCTTAACTGGTTGGAGAAATTGATCTATGTATTTATTATTCCCCTTTGTGTGACATCTTCATGTGGCTTACAATACCTGTTTTCTGTAAGTGCTCCAGAGGTCAGTATGTGTTCATGAAAGCAACAACAGATTTTGGAATTTTCATGTGATTTGCAGTATGCATCTAGCTATGCTACTACTTAAAAAGGTACAGATATCCAGTCAATAAGCACAACTAACACTTTATGTCCTGCCATGCACCAAAAATTATAAATACTCTTTTTTTGATCTTCCTGAAAAAGGAGTAGATTAATTATAAACAAATGAATCCACTTGCAAAAATGAGGGGGCAGTTCATCTCCAATCCTTCCCAAAATGGCCTGAATGCATTATGGTTCCACAACTACAGTTTTAATAGTCTTACCAGTTATGAAGGTGATGTTCTGCTGTTCTTTCTTCCTCAAAGGATAGTTTTTTAATTATCTGTACTGGTTGAAGCTGAGTTCTGAACTTTATTCTCCAGAAAATACTAGGTTCATTTATGGTATGAGCAAAAGGAAAATCTTACGTGCTTAACTGCTGGGTACTGGCTGAGAAAACATTCCATGTCGGCAGTGGGTCAGAAACAAATCCTTGCATTCTGAGCCCTCAGGCATAATGAGTGGAGACTTCCTTTGTTGTTTTGAATAGTGACCAGTCCAGCAAATATGCATGGTTTTGAAGCAAAAGAATAGCACCCATATTGCTTTATTTCTGAATGCGTGAACATCATCCTTGAACTCTCACATGGTCTTACAGTACTAAAAATGGCTTTGCCCTGACACTTGATGGCTCTTACTGAGCATGAGCTGCGTACACCTGCTAAATCAAAATGTATTTCATGCAAAATTGCCTAGCCTCCTGACTTCGTATTCTGCTCTTTTATCTTTTTGAAGCTGGTCTGTTCTGATTTTTATATTCCTTGCCCAGGACTTTACCTATTGCTGCCTCCAAGTCTGCGTTCTAAGCATATCAATGACTTCATCTTTCCTCACATCCTCTTATCCTCATTCACATTCTCTCTCGCAATCTCCATCTTTAATAGCTGATCCCATTTATCCCATTGCAACTCTCTCTGGGATTGATTCTATGCAGTGGCTTTTATTGTTCTCTTTCCTCAGAACCATAGAAATCTGAGATGGAAAAGGCTGATGAGGTCATCTTGTCCATTCCTTTTGCCAATGTTGAATTGTTTCCTACAGTCTAATTTTAAAATTACTCATTCAGCTGGGCTTCCACCTCTTCTTTTAGAAGATTATTCCACAATATTAGGCTGTATATCACACCATTAGGAAGTTTTTCCTGAGAGTTATCTTGATTTTTTCCTTCCCGTGTTTCTGTTCCATTGTTCATAGCTACGTCCCATTTGGTCACTCCAAACAATGTGTTTCACTCTTGTAGAACAGACATCTTTCAAAATCCACCTACTACTCCATTTTGAAGAAAATAACTAGTTATCTTGGTTATTTAATCCCCCACCCACAAGTAGTACAATGACTCTTTTTCTTTTGTTCCACAAAGAAAGGACATCCTTCTATTCCAGCTTGGTGCTATATGAGGCATCTGAAGACAAGCATAATCTCTCAAAATTAAGTCCATACAAGAAAGGTTTTGCTGCATTTAAATCTGCTACATGCAGTCCTGCTTCTGAAAATATTTTTTACCAGTGTAGCTCATGCACAACACAAGCTTTTGTAGACATTATAGTTTGAATGGGATAATGACTTTCTGTTCTAACCCTCTTCATAAAAATTCATGCTGCTGTCAACATTTTGACAGTGTCAATTAATTCAGTTTAACCCTGCCACTTCCAGACAGAATTTTGATGTTCTGTACCAGAATTTTTTTTTTTTTAGTACAGACATAAATGCTGCTTTGAATCTCAGGGATAGATAGCTGTTCTGGAGATATCTTAACATGTCTCATTTGAAGTGCTTGAGCCTCTTTCGCTCTTTTCACACCCCACATTCATGTGTTCTGAACTGATATATTTCAGCTGTGACTTTTCAAAAGGACCTTGTACCTCTACAGATATTTAAATGAGTGGCTTTGTTGTCAAGTGAGCTCAACTGCTTGGGTTGAAGTCATGTAAAATACAGCCCATTATTTAGAGGCCTAAGAAATATTTTTAAAAATCTAGAGTCTGCAGTGGAAATGAAGCACTTGGAAATTTGGCTACAAGGAGCTATGGGTATTTATTTCCCAGCTGTGTGTGGCATTTCTGCTCATGAATGAACTTGTACATGACATGTTGAGTTCACCCTCATATCTGCTTGTCAGCTTTTGTCAGCCTGATATGGACTGAACCTAACACGGTCTTGGAGAGGTCATTGTACCTGGTCCCTACAGTTATATAAAGGATGTCATAAGACAGAGGGCACATGTTGACGAAAACAATCACCTGCTGTTCACAAGTATTTGAGAATCTCTTGGACTCTTTTAAGCAAATAAATATTTTTGGGAAGAGCTTTTCTTAAGTGATTCCAAATCTGACAATTATCTCGGTAGAATTGGCTCCACGGAGTCCTGTAGAGCATCAGCGATCTGGTCAGAATAGAAATAGACAGGCCATGAATAGTTTCTGTAGGAGGGAAATGAGAGGGATGATTTAGATGAGCTCACCACTTAAGAAGCATATGGGCAGGCTGGAAAGTACATAAGCAGCATGGGCATGGCTCTCTGGGACACAATTACAGCAGGATATAAGATGTGGCAAGTGGAAGTATGGTTATACCAGAACTGAGATGTAGTGGGGTTTCTCCCCCTCCACAAAAAGCTCTGCAGTCTGAAGTCACTCACTGCTCTGTTTGAGCTTCAGACATGTGGCCTTGTGTGTAGTGCTCTGGCTCTGTTTTTGCAATCACTGGTTCTGCAGCTTGTGGAAGGTTATTTTTGGCAGTCCCTCTCTTGCCCCTTTCCTTGCACTCTCCCTCTGGCTGCAGCTGCAATTGTTCCTGCTGTCTCAGAGTACCTGGGGAGACCATGGAGGAATCTGATCTCTGAGCTGTGTACCCAGATCACTTGCTATTCCTCTCTTATGAAGTGCAATTACCCAAGCTCTGTGGTTTCCTCTGCTTTACTCTCTGTTCGGTCAGTGTGTTTATTCTGTGCAGAGCAGGAGCAAGACACCCCTCTGAGGCTCTCTTACCAGCCAACTGAAATGGCTGACATGATGGAGGCACTTTCACTGCCACTTCTAAGTGCATAAATTGATGATCTCTCTTTGTGTTGTCTCTTCCTATAGCACAGCACGCTGCTCTACTGGGAAACCTTATCTTTTTAAATAACTGTTGTACTATTGTCCATTGTTACCTGACTGTGGATTTCTTCGTGAAAAAACAATGAAACACTTTACTTGGATGTAAGGGGATCATTTGTAGTTAGAGTGCTACTTCTGAAAAAATGATGTATATATTAAATCTGAGTTCCTTCAGCTAATCTATGGGATACAGAAATTTAGAGGCAAGGATCATCTCTTAGTGACATCAAGAAAATCTTGCTTTTCCCTGAAGAAAAACTAATAGCTCCCTAGCAACATTCCCAATAAAATTTCTCTCGCGGGGGGGAAGGGGGAGGTGGTTTTGCATTTTGCTTTTATTTTTTTTCCTGGAAACTTGCCTTGGATAGCTTACTGTTCAGTGATAAGCATTGTAAGAGATCCCACTAATATTTGCAGGATTCATTCATGCTGTTAGTTGATGTCACTAATTTTTCTTTATGTTCCTTTTCAATTTTAAGTAAAGCTGTTGTTTCTGATTTTTTTTTTTTTTTTTTGGCATCTCCTGTGCATCAGAGAGTTGCAGTTAGGTTGGCACTTAAATATTTAGACAACATTGTATTAGTATTAGTAGTTCTTAAATATTTAGAACTACTTCTTTCCTATCCTCTTCATTTCCTTCTATGCCTATCTCACAGAATAAAATATATCCCCATCATTTTCTTTCTTTCTTGCAGTTCCAGAATTACTGACCAACACAAAGTATGTATAGAAAGTATAAAGATGACAGGAGAAATGCCTGAATAAATATGCTCTTTTACGTAGCAAACTTTTGGCTCAAGAAGAGGTAACTCAAAGCATAAAGTGAATAAAAAGTAGATTAATGAAAAGAAGTTGAGCAGTGAAGACCTATATTCTACCATTATAGCTTCTGTCACATTAGTCAGAGCAGGTAGCTTTTTGCTTTTCATTTTTTGTTTTTGAAATCAGTATTTCTTAACAATGGCTCCTCTTTTAAAGTAGGTAACTGGTTAACCAGGAGCTAGCCACTAAGTGCTGCTGATGCTGGGATTCACTGGCTAGAGCAAAAATGCTGGAAACGGGCTGCAGTACACTGGGACAGCTTTGTTAAGGCAGTTCATATTCATGAGGAAGGATGTGAGCTTTACTCCTGAGCATGTATCTACTGAATGACCTATGTATATAAGATTGGTTAAGGTTGAGATTAATTTTAGCAATAATGCTCTGCAGTCAACTTGCATTGGCCTTTTGCTTAGTGGTGCTTGGAGCTCAGTTATTCTTGGAGAAGATCATATCATATGGGATGGCTATTGCCCTCTATGCCCCTTGTCCATCTACATCACTCACAGGCTGCATATTGCTGAAATTTACTGGATTTGGGTTGCCTTCAAATTCAGGTACAGCTCACATATGCTCTGAATGTTTTCAGAGCCTGCCTGCATAGTCTTGCAAAATACAGTGATATTCAGGCTGATTCTGAGCAGCCATCCTCACTCTCATCCAGGATGTTTCAGAAGTGACTAATGCCTGCCAGTGTCTTTCCTTTCTTGGATCACTGACTCAAAGCACTTGTAAAGGGCTGGATTTTCAGAAAGGGCTGAACATCTACGCTTGGGCTCACACTTTATTCTAGTTGCTTGGAACTGGAAGGCATGCAGTGACCAATCACTTCTAAGGAAAAGCCATGCTGAAGGTGTGGATCAAAGCTGCATAATTGCATGTACTTCGGAAACAGAACAGGAGGAAAAATCATAGAATCATGGAATGGCTTAGGTTGGAAAGGACCATATGGATAATCTGGTTCTAGCCCGCTACTGTGGGCAAGATTGCCTCCCCCCCACCTCAGGCTGCCCATGGCCCCATCTAACCTGGCCTGGAGCACCTCCAGGGATGGGGCACCACAACTTCTCCAGGCAACTGGGCCAGTGTCAGGTTTGACCCAGCCATCCTAGAACGTGGGCCAGCTCCAGCTGCATCATGACACATGGACATGTGAGTGGATCCATGTCTTGTGCTCTTAGGAGTCTCCTATACATAACAGCTTTCAGTCACACAGCACAGAGTCTTTTCAACTTTGGATTATTGCTTCTGCAGACACAAACAATTTTCTTTTGAAATATATGCTCATTTAGTTCTCAGTGCCCACCTACTGAATTCCCAGGCTCTGGATTCCAGGTTTCCTCACCCTGTCAGGGAATCCAGTAGTAATTTATGTAGCAGGCCCAAGGTCTGGCTCAAAAGCTGTGCTGTCTGTGCCAATGCAGTTGCAACATTTTTTCACATTAAAATATTTAATAGGTTTGAGTATGGACGTGAACCCTTATGGAGTGCTACTCTGGAACATATTTCCTATATTTTCATTCACGCTGGTTGTTTCTCAAGTTTCTTGTGCATTTCTAACATTGTAGAATTCAGTTACGTATAATTATATTTATTTCCTCAACCCAGGGGTCACTGCAGAATCCAAGATTGATGCAAGATACTGAAGTAAGGATTAAGAACCACTTTCAAAGATGCATGAGGAATCTGGCAGCTTGCCAGCCCCCAGGATAATGGAGTTGCTACAACCTCTGTCAAAATCAGTGGTTTAGGAAGGAACTAGAGACACAGGTAGCACATGTGTAGTGTGGATTTAAGAGTAGGGTGAGGAAGTGAAGGGATATGGGAATTATTTGAGTGGTTATTTTGGAGAACTGAAGGTATGGTAGCAAGGGCAGCCATAGAGGATGTGAGAATGGAGCTAAGGTTATCACAGCAGGGGTTATAAGACAAAAACCCACAGGAAACAAGGTTTCATTAGCTCTACTGCTTGCTGAACAAGTTGTTTTAATTAAGCTTCCCTTCCATTTCTAAAGGGAAAATGGAGGAAGAATAAAAAAAGGAAAGGGAAAAACCTGAAAAAATAAAATAAAAACCATGGAACAGCATTTCGCATATGTATATATTCTTTTCTCAACTGCTGCACCACTCCCTTTCACCCTAGGAACACCGTTAGTTACTCAAATATTCTTTTTCTTTAAATCAATTTGCAATGGTTTGTGTGACCTGCTGGGGCTCCCTCTAGTTATGGCTAAGCATTTTTAAATGTGATGCCATAGATTCACGGTCATGTCCAATAAATAAGAAGTCTAGAGGTAAAGCCTTTTCAACTCTATGATAATTTTCCTATTTATCTTGGTGGGGCTGGTGTTTCAGTCTTTGCGTCAGTCAAGTGGTTAGACATAATTAACATCTGTCCATAAGTTAGAGTTGCTTGGGTCAGGGGCACAACTAAAAGAAAATTGATCAGCAGGAATCTGCCGAATCTGATCTTTTTTTTTTTTTTTTTTTTTTTTTTTCTTTCTCTCTCCAGAGAACATTCGTCTTTTTCAAGAGAAGTGGAAGAAAAGGCAAGCAAGAAAGTATGGAAGGGAAAGTGAGATAAAGAAAGCAAGGTAACAAACAATTAGGCAAGAAAGAAGGAAAGAAAGAGAAGGTTTAAAAAAGAAAAAAAAAAAAAGCATGTAAGGAGCAACAAAATCCATAAAATATATAATAAAGCCACATGGAAAAAGAATACATTTGATTTCCTGCATCTCTCTGAATTATGTTTCAGTAAATGTACAGCACACGTACTGTGTTTAAAGCAGATCTGACAACATATAAAACATTAAAAATATTATGACATTGGCCAATATTTATGATGTATATTTCCACACATAAAATATATCATGTCATGTCATTGATTTTAAAAAGCATGGAAATTGGCCATGTCATAATATTTTAGAGGTTTTTTAAATACATTGTCAGAGCTATTTTAAATGTACGTGCTCAGCATTTTATGGAACTCCCAGCACACAGACATACGGAAAATATATTCTGGGTCCACAGGAGACCAGCATTTCAAACGTAAATTTTAGCTAATGCACATTTGCTAGAACAAGAATCTTTTTCTTTTTGTTGTAGTTCTTGAGCTTCCACATATTATTCTTATTGTATTTTGCATAGATTTACATCAGCAGAGCTCAGCCTTTAACAAATGGGTATCATGTTTAGCCTCATCTTGCTGTTTTAATGTAGAAAAAATTCCCTCTGAAGTTTTGCATCATGAAGGGACCATCAGGCAGCACACATAGCTACAGAGATCCTCACAAAAAGGAATGATATTTTGTGGCGAAATAGCCCAGCCAATATTACTAATTATTTGCTCTTCCAACTGGAACCTTTGAGTATGCTTAAAGAATGCTACCAGGACAACTCAGATGTTTGGAGAATCCCTGTTGGAAGATGTCAAGGGCAACCTCTGCTAAAATGAGCTAGGCAATTTATCTGCATGAAAACTAAAGGAATTGAAATGTTGAAACACTTGCTCATGATCAAAGAGAAATACTAGAGTTTTCTGGAAGAAAACCTTGGTTCCTGGTTTTGTGATTTAGCAACAAGACCACCTTTGCCTTTTTAATTTGTTGGGAAATTCTGCCAGCATATTATTTCTATGTTTAGTTTGCTTGCACTTTCTGCCACTCATGTACCTGTGGAGCCACTACACATATGGTACTGGAGATTCCTGGTGTGTATTTATTTTATTTTTTGCATTTCTCACTTTATATATAAATAGAAAATCATAGAATCATTTGAGTTGGAAGGGACCCTTAATCTGGTCCAACTCTGCTGCAATGAACAGGGACACCTACATCAGATTAGGTGCTCAGAGCTCTGTCTAGCCTGACTCTGAGTGTCTCCAGGGATGGGGCACCCACCACCTCTCTGGGCAACCTGTGCCAGTGTCTCACCATCCTGACTGTAAAAAACTTCTTCCTTATATCCAATCTAAATCTCCCTTTTAGTATAAAAACAAAAACAAAAAAAACAAAAACAAACAAACAAAAAAAAACACATTTCCCCTTGTCCTGTCATAGCAGTCCCTGCTAAAAAGTCTGTCCCCTTCTTTCTTGTATCATAAGGAAAGAAATAAGATGATTGTAGACACGTAATTGCTTCTAAGGATGCTATGTAACTTATCTTTCAAGGTCTTTAGAGGAAAATGAGAAGCAACAGATGTGCTGCTTAAAGGGCTAATTTATGTGGCATCACCAAACATTACAGGATAATTATAATTATAGGCATCATTGTGAATAGAGATGGTTGGAGGCAGGGGGGAAAGCCAGCTTTTGCTTTAGCTGCATCACAAACCTACCTATGCTGCTGTCAGGCTGTGTGACATGGCTGTAATTAGCCACTAAAATGTTATTTCTCTTTCTGGCTTGAATGTTGGTATGGCAATTCCTTTGGCTAAATGCGTGCCTAATTGAAACAGCAGTAGTGCTTAAAAATAAAGAGCAGCTTGGAGTGCAGTTTGAAAACAGCTACATTTGCTAAATTCTGTAAATGATACCCCCTCTTCCAAAACCAATTAGATTTTACTCTTTGTTTTTAGAAGAATTGCTGGCTGATAGGTAATGTTATTTCCGCACTTCCAAGAACACTAGGCTTCTAGGCTCTGCCCAACTGGTTTTGTTTAGATTTCCATTATTTGTTTGACTGATTTATCTGAAATATTTTAAAGGGTAGCATAAAGGCATAGATTCTCCAGAGCAAGTTATTGTTTTCACATATGCTTCATGTCGAACTTTGGGTTTTGTGCACGGTTTACTTTTGAGGGGGCTGGAGGAGGTGAGGGAATGTTTGGATAGCATATGCATCATGCTCTTTCCTTCTTCCTTGGGTGTTTCTTTGCCATTCAGTATATGGTTTTTTTTTTTTTTCCATGTTGTTACATTTGAAATGCAGAGTTGTTTTATAGGAAAAGATCAAGTGCTGCAAAGTCCTAGATATTCATCCTAAACACAGAAAAACAAAAGTTCTTTAGTTTCTTAGGGGCCAGGAGGACCACATTGTCTCCTGCTGAGGAAAGGGAAAGAAAGGAAACGATCTAAACAGTGAAGCTTATAGCCAAGTAAGGAAAACAATTTGAAAGCACGGTATGTATTTGCTATTAAAAACAAAGACTCCAATTCTTTCCCTCTGTGGACAAAATCTTGGTTAGAGAGGAGAATTCAGTGCAAGCACTTTCCTTATTTCTTAGGAAAACATGTCCAACACACTGACAATGAATAGTGGGAGTTTTACATGCCTTGATATTCCTAAAATGTCAGTCTCATGCACCATTTGTTAGAGTAGTGACCTTTACGGGTACATTTAAATCTTTAGCCATTCCAGTCAAGGAGATGCACACAAGAGAGCAATCCCTGGAAGAGAGTTAAAGCAATGGAGTAAAGATGGCTCATCAGGAAGCATAGCGCAATTTGTACAGAGGGAGGATACTCAGTGAACTGTGTTGAGATGTTTAGGTGAAGCAATGAGACTGTCACTGTGTGTTTTGAAATGTGAAATGTGCATAGCAGAAGTGTGTCTGGGATCAGACTGGGAATTGTTCTGCTTAACTCTTCCCTATAAGAGAACTGGATTTTCTATACACTGCAGTGTGACTGCAGTATGGTTCCTCCACATTAAGCAAAATCCAAGAGAGAAGCCCAAGTTCAAATACAAAATTATATTTAAGAAGTATTCTAGCTCCAGATTAATGTTCCCTTCTGTAGCTTTATTAAATATGTTTTTCCATTAGACTTTCAAGGAGAGGAAATTTTTATGTATGCTATGCCAAGTCTAATATGTAAAGCACCCCAAACAAACCATGGTAGTGTTCCTCACTGCCCATATGAGCCCCACACATGGAATGAAGATCATACTGAAGATGTGTACGTGGTACAGTAAGACCTGATCTTGCTATCTTCCCCCTCGCTGTGCAGGCAATGTCCCTTTGGGTGCAGGAGCACTGCTCCTGAGAAGGCTGAAACCAGACTTGCATCTAAGGTACAGGCCGCTTAATGACCTTAAGGACCAAAAAGCATTAACTGAGTGCATCAGGGCTGAGAAGAGAGGGGAAGCCTTTCTGTACTGATCCCGTGCTGTGGTGCTGCTGCTCAGCTCATATCACCTAACACCTTCTTGAATGTTATTTCTTACCTGGAAGAGTCAGCAGGTTTAGGTCGGAGAGGATCTGGCCATTAGCAGGAATGCTCAGCAACACCGTGGAGCAGACATGAAACACCTGGCACAATTCCAGATACATGCAGCCTGGAACATTTAATGGCACTCAAGGGATAAAATGACCAAACTGTAAACCCCTCTATTCCCTCCCTCCTTCCTTTTTTATTTTTTATAAATGCACTTTTGAAAATACAGTACATAGATGCTTTCTACCTTCCTTTGTCTCTCTGTTTCTTACTTGTGACTCCTTTGGGCCCAATTGAAAAAAAACTTGTTCTGCACCATTTACTTAGGTTTTTGGCAGGAGTTTTCTAGGAAAGAATGAGGAATGTGCTGTTTCTACATGAATTCGCCCACAGGTCAGTCCTTCTGCAGTGCACACACTGGAGGGATTGCAAAAGCCAGGATTCCCACTTTGTTTGCTCTGAGAAGACTGCGCATACATTTTCTGTCTCTGTCTCACGGGTACTCATGGACAAACATCCATGTACATGCATAGATTCATTAGTGGCAATGACTGCTGATCCGTCTGTTAATGTCAGTGCAGCATCGGTGATATTGAGCAAGGTTTTAACTAGTAGTAAACAAATTGTTGGTGTCAAAAGCAAAAGGCGTTTTGATTTTTGCCTAGGTGTAGGAGAAAGTGTAGCTGGAAAATTAATCCACAAAAATTTTGGAAACTGGAAGCTACTGATAAAACAAAACAGAACTGTTTACTTATTACCTATAACTGAATAACTGACTTCTTGACTTCATGCCTGGCTGGGTATGGTGAACATTAGGCAATATTTAAGTTATTACCAAAGTGATGAAGAAGACTACCAACGTGAAGGGTGTTGGTGCTTAATGTAAATGTGTCAAGGCTCAGATGCATTTCTGCATTTTCCTCTGATAGTGCTGAGAAGATTGTATCTTATGGAGCAGAATGTGTAGGATTGATGTGATGTAGTTAATCTGGCAATTTATGTGTTTACCATAGCTACAGGTTTTTGGGTTAGCTCTAAAATTCATTGTAAAAGGAATACTTTACCATGGTAGCCCCAGTAACACTTCTGTATATTGTTCTTTGCATTTTTGTTGGCTTGCTGACATCAGTGCTTTAATACTTAATATCCTGTGAACATTTCTGTGTTTTATAGTTCTGTACATACTGGAATAAGGAGGAAGGAGAGGGCCTGGGCTCTCTAATAAGGAAACACACATTACTCTTTACTGATATGTTTTTGTTCTCTGCTAATAATTTTTTTCCCTTTTAGCTTCAGCCTGAGGAAGAACTGCTGTTGGAACAGAAAAAGGCAGATGGTAATGTGTATGCGAAGTGTGGTTGTAATTATTTTATTACCTAGGCAAGCATAAGGCTTGTTTATGTGAGAAGAGGTGATTAATTCCTTTGGGTCATAAGAGAAAAATTCCAGACCTGTAACAGATTTCTCTGGTGAGCTACTGAATTCTTTGTATCTACCCCTCTGCCAGGCTGTACCTTCTCTGCATCACCTCTAAACACAATAAATAAATAAACAGAAAAAAATCCCAGAAAGAAATTTGGTTTCATGGATGAAGTCTTGCCTCCTTTTTAAAGCAAGCATGTAAGCGGGTGGTCTGACACCCCACTGCTCTCCAAGGCAGCCTGGCATCACTCCCTGGACTTCCTGCCCCCCTGCATCAGGATTGCACTACAGCTTGGCTGGTCATAGACTCGCATTATGGTTTGGAAGGGACCTCGAAGCCCACACAGTTCCAACCCCCAGCTGTGAGGAGGGCTGCCCCCACCAGCTCAGGCTGCCAAGGGCCCCACCCAACCTGGCTTTGAGCACCTCCAGGGATGGAGCTTCTCTGGGCAGCTGTGCCGGGGCCTCACTGCCCCCTAATTAAAAAAGTTTCTTCCTAATATCTCATCTAAATACCCCCCTCTTCTAAAGCTATTAACTCTTGTCCTATCACTATCTGTCTTACCTACCCGTGTAAGTAATGTGGCTAAGGACAAGGGAATATTCCCTGCTGCTCATGCTGCTTGTGCCCCAGATTCTTGCAGAGAAAATTCATGCAAGAAATCTCCTTAAAGAACAGAAAACAACAAAACTCTTGCTATGGCTTTTGTATTAAGTGAACAGATTTGTGAAAAATCTTGTTCTATATTTGTTATTTATGGTGTTTTCAGACACAGATAATGTGGCTTAAGTATGATGCTATTCTCCAATTTGAAGAAAGTGAAATCTTTCCTCTGGTGTATAAAATATTTCAAAAATTCAGTAAAAAAAACATCCACCAAAATAACCAGTTTATAAGAAGTGTGCTGACATTGTAAAAAATTAATAGCAAGCTTGGAACTCTTCGAGTTTCCAAAATGGTCAGTTCAATGGGAAAAAAAAAAAGGCACTTTCTTATTATAAAATCGGATTGCCTGTCTTAGGTTTTCTCTAATGAAAGAATTTTTGGAGAAAATAAAGCTCACATTGAGCGTTCACAGCCCATCTACCCTTAAATGTGTAATTTAACTACCCAGTCCTGTGGCCTGGAACACTTTCGATTGCAACTTTAATAGTTATTTTGGAAAAAAAAAAAAAAAAAAAAAAAGCCAAATATTCAACCTTTAGCATATTATATATAAGAGTTTTTCTTCTCTTAAATGTCATAGGAAATTATGATGACAGTGTGTTTGTATGTGTGTGTGAATGTGTATGTGTGCATGTGCGTGCCTAAGCAAAATAAATTTACTTGCTACTGGATTCCATTGCTTGAAACCTTGACAGCCTTGGGAGGGGCAAGGGAGTTGGGCCAAATACTCAGTCACTCTAAAATGGATCATAATAATGTTACTTTATAGATCATCTCTATAAATAGCACAGAAAATCAAGTGTTGGGTAGTCCTGGGCTCACTCTGGCCTGGATTTCATTATTTCAAATAAAAGAGTTATATTTATGTTGTGGGGTTGCCATTAAGGATATGTTTAAAAAAAAAACAACAAAAAACAACACAAAAACGAACAAACAAAAAAAATCCAAACAAACCCATCCAACAGCTAGTGGTGTTATACAGAAGTCATCTAATTCTGTTATACTCATAGTAAAGCTGAGCAGAAGTCGCTTATGAAATAAGAAGCATATATTATCAGCTTTCAAGTGCTGAGATTGCTCACAAGTGTTTAAAGTTCTACTATTTTCTCAAATTAGCAACACATACTTTAACAGCAGAACAGATGATATTCCTATTAATTAAGACTATTTTTTCAATGAACTGAGCTGGAATACACCAACTTTAAGAGAGATAGGCTAGAAACAAACATCTGTTTTGTACATTTGCCCCCCATAGTCTTTAAAGAAACTGCTGAGAGCTTTCACTGGGAGCTTTTTATTTCCCCTAGCCTTGCAGAACTTAACTGGCTCATGTACCACCATTAGCTTGAATCCCAGGTAAAAGGAAAAGTCTTTTTTAATATTTTAAGAACATTTTAGTGGATGTAAAAGAATTCAGATATTAGTTGTTAGAGATCTGAATGTCTTCTGCAAACAAATGAGCTGGTCTTCACATGGAAAGCATCTTGCTGAATTTGTTAACTGGTAAGTGAAAAAGGACATTTTGTGATATTTTAGCCACTTCATGTTACTGACTTAGGCTGTATTACATTTCACAGATCTTGATATGAGAGTATTGTATGGGAATAAAAGCATTAGTTAATGCTAACTATACTAGGCTGCAAAACATCATAGGTTGGGAATAAAATCTTTGAAGTTTCGAAGAAGGGTTAAAAATACATTTGTGAAAATTAGGAGGATGTGCCAAATGTTATGATCTCTTTCTAATTTCACAGGCTTCAGTCTAAACTGCTAAGAAAAATATATCTTAGAAAAGTATACTCTGTCTTTTAATTACCCCTGCAATTCAGTACATTCAAGTACCAAAGACAATTCTATTTGGGTGAATATTAAATATGAGCAGAGAAAGGATAATAAAACTAGAAAATAAAGGAGGGGAGAAAAATACAGGAAGGGGCTGAAGTTCTTCTTTTAGTTCTTCTATCGCCTTTCTTTGGGATTTTGGGCAGTTTCTTGACCTTTGCGTTACTGTATTTGTAACGTGAAGTTCCTGGCTTCCCCCTGCCAAGAGCACTTTGCTGTGTAGGTGAACTACAGTATAAAAATACCAGCTATAGCTATTAATACTTTCCTTTCATGTTTTGGAGTTGCCAAAGATACATATTTATAATTATGGGTTACAATGCCGTAGCAAAACATTTCCAACTATAAAATGGCCTTGACAGCTCCATCTAGAATAAGCAAGCCATTAACTGGTTTCTCTAATCCTCATTTGTGAAAAGAAGGCCCCACTGTGTCAGAGGATAATAAATTCCACTCGATCCCTGCAGAAAGAATAACATATACTTAATGAACAACCTTTTTGAAAGCAATTCCTGTACATTTTCTGAATAAGCCAGTGTACAACCTTTTCTGCAGCACTATGGACTACTCTGCTTCCTGCTGCTAAATTACTGATTCCTAATTCTTTGTTCTGTATTAATGTTTTCATTTCTGGACTCTGTCTTCCTATAGCAGTTTAGATGATAGCTTTGCAAAGGGCAGAAAGTGTCCTCCTGTACTTGGTAGCGCTATCAATTTATTAGTCAAGTCTGTGTTATTTTCTCTACAGGTTTGCCTCTCCATGAGAGTAGGTTAGGACCAAGTCAGTAGTTATGACCACTTCTACAGCTTGCTGAATGTCTTTTAAGTGATCTTACCTAAATTCTTTTGCTGGCTGGATAAATGTTATAAAACCATAATGCTAGCAGAGCATATTTCCTATGTTTTATTAGAATTGCTACCAGAATATCTTCCCTATATTTTATTTAAATTGCATGTTATACGCTACGAGCAATAAGATATTTCCTTAAGTTTAGATTTTCATCATTCTTACCCTTTCTCACAGATATTTCATATAAAAAGGTAATACTATACAATATTGTTGTAGGATTGGTCTTCAGGAAAGGACTAATCATAGGATGTGTTTTTAGGATGTGCACGGGTGTGTATGTGTATCCTTTATGCTTCCCTCCTCCAAAGTCTTTCTGAAGCAATGCTTGCAGCACATGAGTCTTATTTCATGGGAAAATAACTGCTGGTACTGAGAAGCAAAGATTACCTTTAAAAAAGGATATCAGTTCTTGGAAATTATCTTTCTGTTTGCAATTTCTGCCAGGTCAGAACATGCCAGAAAACTAATGGAAGAGCATGTCCAATGGGGATAAAGAGACCTCTTTTACAAACCTCTAAAGTGTACTGAGGTTTTACTGCTCATTACAATTTATGGACACACATTATCATCAAATGAGAATACTAAGCTAAAATAATAATGCAAATACTATTACTTGAGGGAAAAAATGGTTTGTCCACGGTGTTTATGAACTCTGGCATTTAGGAACTTTCAGCTGAAGAGTATGAACGTCACTCATTCTAATTTTAGGGAGAAAATTAATTAGAATTACAAACAGAAATAATACAGATGTTCATGAAAAGTGATTGTTAACAAACTGTTAATAATTGTTAACATTTGGCACTGACTGAAATGTGTAGAGAGTGTAAAAGAAGTACCCATAAAAGATTTATTGTAATTGTTTTCAGTAATTTTAAATGCTTATTATGTTTTTGACACTTTTTGATTACAACATTTAAGTTTAGACAGATATTTACTGATTGTTCTGCGCTTAAAAAGCATCTGCTAATACCTCTGACTTCTGAAAACTGAATAATGTAACAGCTGATATGAATAGTTTACTTAAAAATTTATAGTGCTCTCTTCCATTATAAAAAAAAGAACAATAACCTGAAAACACAAGTATTGATAGTCATCATTCAGATCACTGACCGGAACTGACCTTGTGGCAGTAATGGGAGTTCTGGGCCTGTAGTAACTCTGGGGAATAAAAAACAAGTTGAAGACAGAAATAGTATTTTGGAGCTCTGAAGATGGTGGCAGACCATCATTTTTGCTACTTTTAATCAACTTTTTAATCTGCTCAGTGATAAAACTAGCAACTTTTAACCCTCAATAGCCAACATATTGACTTGCTGCAATTTATAAGCATATAACTAAAAGAATTAAATGTGCAGAGTGATATTCAGAAAAGGATAAAAAGGAAACTTGTCATCTAATACAGTTTATTATGAGAGATTAGAAAACAATCGATGTAATGTATCCATACCTCCTTTTTGGGGTTGGGGATAAGCTCTCGCTAGCTTTTTACCTACTTTAACAGTATACTCAACACAACACTTAATGCCACAATGCTCCAGTTAAGAGACTTTACAGCACAGAAATATTGCTGAGGCAAAAATGCTGACAGTTATACTTCAAAAATAGTTTTGGATGAACTCAGATTATGAGTAGTTCAACTGCACTTTCCAAAAATGGACATAACAACTGGAGAATTTTCTTCCCCCTGTTGAGAGGTTACTGTGGTCTGTGGGTTTCTTTGTGTGGGAGTTCGCATCTTCATATACAGAAGTATAAGAAAACAGCCTCCCGCAAGACACAAAAATAAAACAAAATGTAATATAGAAGTCTTCTGAGGTCTTGGG